AGAGAAAGAGAAAGAGAAAGAGAAAGAGAAGAAAAAGTAAAAGTAAAAAATAACAGGAAAAGATGAAAGTAAAAACTAACCCAAATTTCCTCATCTCTGGCCCCAACACCCCCCTTAGGAGCTCCAATCATTCCCACACTCTTCTCCCTAAGAACAGGAGTATCCAAAAACTCCATCGTTTTCCTCACCGCCTCAATCAATACCCGTCGATCGTAAGGATGATTGATCAGATTTGCATCGATTCTTGGAGGTAAGGAAGGGTCGGAGGAGTTGAGGGAAACTGAACCCGAGGCTTGTGGATTCATGACGAAGGAGAGACAAGTTAGATAAGAGTCGGTTGGTGAGAGGATATGGGTGCCTATAAAGAGAGGTGGTACATGCTGGGTTTGATTAGTATTCAGGGATTGGAGTGTGGAAAATGAAAAGATTAGGGAAGGTCAGGGGATGTAGGTAAGATCGGAGAACAAACAGTAGCAATTTCAAAAGTCGGAACATTTTTCTTCCTCATGAATGCCTTCTTATCATCCGGTAGATCCGCAAATTCTTTTGACTCCAACACTCTATCGTTTTTAAACCACCCCATCGGAACACCACAGTAAAGTTCCGCCAACTTTCCACTCTTATCTTTCATCCAAGCTTCCTTTGCATTTTTCTTCATCTCTTCATTCATCTCGAATTCCATGCGATCATTTGATCCCTCTTTGAGTAAAAGAGTCGTGGTTGAAAAACAATGATCTTGGAGATTCTTTCCTACTTGTGGGAGATCTTTGATGATAGGAATATTATGATTTCGAAGTTCGGAAGCCGGGCCAATTCCTGATAGCATGAGAAGTTGGGGACTGTTCAGTGCACCAGCTGATAAAATAACGTCTTTTCGTGCATAGTATTCTCTTCCATCGATTGTCCTAATACCATTTGCTCTCTTTCCGTCAAATAGGACTTTCGCGACAGGGGCATTTAGGATTGTTTCAAAACGCGGGCCCATCAATGGCAAATATGAAGAGGCCGTTGTTCTCAGTCCATCATGCATACATGAAGAACCCATTCCCATTCCAATCGGATTCCCAGAATTAATATCAGCATTTAACGGTAAACCAGCCTGTTTCGCCGCTATGTAAACATCCGTAAGACCCCTTTCCCACACTGGAGCATAAGAGAGATGAAGTGGACCACTCGTGCCGTGATCTTCTGGTTTTGGATTCACGAATTCTCGATACTGATCTGGAATCTCGTCATGATAATGTTCAATCTTTTTTAACCTGTCCTTAACATTAGGCCAAGACCAAGTATCATCATCGACTTTCTCAGCCCAGGCATCGAAATCTTCGGCGCCGCCAATGACCCAACAGGAGAAATTTATAGCGGTACCACCACCAATTCCTTTTCCTCTGGAATAATCAATTTGTTGTCCACTTAGATGTTCACATGGTTCTGTTTTGTATCCCCAATTTAAAGAAGGTTGTGAACCGAACAATGTAAATCTTTCGCCTGGGATAAGGTATTCTTGATCGTTGTTTGGACCGCCGGCTTCGATGAGGAGAACAGATGGGTGAGATGGAGTTGATGAGAGACGAGCTGCTAGGGAGAGTCCTGCTGGACCAGCTCCTACGATTATGAAATCATAAGTATTATGAGGTGTGGATGTCATTGTGAGGGATAACTGAAAACGTTTGCTTTGGTATGATATATGTTTTCTAGATAGAATGTGAGAAAAGTGTAGAGTGTTAATGATTGAGAACTGAGAATTAGGACAATCCCGTAACTAATATATAAATCCGATTATTAACCCTTGACAACTGTCGTTGATCCATTTACCGATTATGTAATCTTATGATTTTCATTTACGTCCTGATTGGTTGAAGGTGCTGTAATGTCTTCTTAAACTTCGAGATCAGATAATCGTGGGTGGCCCCACTTCACGCTTTAATATAATAGCACTCATGCTTAAGTGAACCAATATTATATTACACTTAGAATTCAATTTACAATACCAAAATCATTATCAATATAACCGAATCTTGAGTATAACCAGTTATTTGATATATATTATTAGTATCGTGAAATGAGTTCTAATGTGATTAAAAGGATATAAATAGAACTTCGATTATATACTTAGAATCTATAAATGAAGAGCTATATAGAGTACTAAAAGGAGAACTATATATATAGATATTTGGAAATTATAAGGGCTAGGCCCAGGAGAATAAAAAATGTTCTAGAAATAAATATTATATAATATCTAGATCTAGAGCTATAGAATTAAGACTCCAAATTGTAAAAGAAAGATTCAAAAGAGTTATTATATTATACTATATATATAATATAAGCTAGTAGATAGAAAAGAGTTATCTGTTTTATTATATTACTTTTCTCTTCGAAAAAGCATAACCTCATATATCCTTTTATAGACAAATCGTCTATAATTTTATTATAATTATTAACTTTGTTATTATAGTTTTCTATCTATATTATAAGAGTAATAGATAATTCTACTTAACTAAGATAATTAAAATAATAAATTTAAAGTTTGTAAAGAGAATATTTAAAATTATCTATTCTAT